TTTTTATTACTGTATGTCTTTTTTTTTTTTTTGACCCTGTTCTATGGTTGAGTACATATTGAGAAGTCATCCCCTAAAATTATAGATTCTATGAATCTTGATGTCACTGAGCTTTATAATTTTAGGATGTTTGTGGTAAAAGGGAATTTAAAGTCATCCAATCTAACCCCCACCCAAACCAGCAATAGTATCCCTGAGTGAGATTGGCTTGTGTGTGAACACTTGTGAAAGTGGAGAGCTTACTATTTCAGTCTCTTCCCAACAGCAGCATGTTCCGTTATTGGAAAATGTGAATCACCATAAGTATTTTATAATTTTTTTATAAATTAAGCTAAGGTGCCTCTCCATTCCCTGTAACTTTCACCAATAGTTTCTCATTTTTTCTTCTGGAAACATTCCTTACACATTTCTACCTTTTTCTGCATGGCAACCTTTTAACTATTTGATGAAATCTCTCAAGTTCCTCATAAGTCCCTAAACTAAATTTTGTTAGTATTTTTTCACTATTCTTATGTAGCATGATTCCACTGGTCTTTTGTTGATAAACCGTCTTCTCTAAGCCAAGCTCTAGTTTGTCATTTTTCCTTTTAAATTACAGGTCCAAGTATTGAAAATATTGTTCTGGTCAGCCATTGGACTCTTTGCTTAACTCTGACAAATGTTTCCTTGGTTTTAAGGTGCACCTAATGGTATGTATTGACTTTTCAGCATCTTGGGATAACTATGGAGAATGTATATGAATGGTCAGGACCACGTAGTTTTACCAGGCAATGGTGGCACATACCTATAATCCCAGCAACTTGAGAAGCTGAGGCAGGAGGATCACAAGTTCTAAACCAGCCTGGACAACTTAATGAGACCATGCCTTAAACTTGTAAATTAATAATAAGTGCTGGGAATGTTCCGGGATGTTGCTCAGTGATTGTTAAGCAATATAGAGATCCAAGGGAAAGCCCCAGAACAAGGTCAGCATGATGGCTAGCTCCTCGTGAAGCAAAGCTCAGCACCAAGCAGAGCTCCACCATAAGTAATCACCACCCCATCCCTGGCACCCAGCTCAGACTTAATCCATTTATCTAACATTGATAAGTACCTATTGTATACCATACAGTGTTCTAGAGTCTTCCTACATTCTTGGGTGGGAAACTGAAACATATATATATATATATATATATATGACAAGATGCTATGAAGATAAAACAGGAGAAATGGATAAGGAAATTGGGTTGTTTTTATTTTAAATGGGATAGTCAGGAAAGACTTTTTTCCAGTCTTCCCTGAGAAGATGACATTTGAGCAAATACTTGAAGAAGGAGGGGCATGGACCATAAAGAAATTGGAGAAAGAATTTCCAGCAGTGGGAACAGGAAGTTCAAAAGGTTCTGAAATAGGAGCATGCCTTCAGTGAGGCTGTGTGCTGGAGCAGATAGAGCCACCGGGGAGAGGCAGGAGGTAAGGACAGGTAGGTGATAAGGGACCTTGAGATCCTATCAGGTCTTTGGCTTCTCCTTTGAATGATGCAAGAAGCTCCTTGAAAGTTTTGATGAAGATAATTTATATAAGCTGGGCTACATACTAACAGAATCACTCTAGTAACTGTGCTAAGAAAAGACCGTGCAGGAAGAGAAAAGAAACCATGGACTATTGAGAGGATCTTTCCATATTCCTTGTAAGGGAAGACGATGATTTGGGTCATGGCAATGGTGGAGATGGTGAAATGTGATCTTTTCTGGTTTTTTTTCTTGGGGGGGGGCCAGGTGGTTGGTACTGAGGATTGAACTCAGGGGCACTCTACCACTGAGCCACATCCCCAGCCCTATGTTATATTTCATTAAGAGTCAGGGTCTGACTGACTGAGTTGCTTAGCACCTTGCTTTTTGCTGAAGCTGGCTTTGAACTCGCGAAACTCCTGCCTCAGCCTCCCAAACCACTGGGATTACAGGTGTGTGCCACCGTGTCTGGCTTGGTATTTATCTCTGAAATAAAACGAACAATATTTGCTGATGTGTTCCATGTGGGTGTGTAAGCAAGAACGAAGTTTGAAAGACTCTGAAATTCTTTTTTTTGCTTTAGTCACCTCAATGGATGAAATTGCCATTAGCTGAGCTGAGGAAGACCATGGGAGGAACAAATTTATAGGGGAAGACTGGAAGTTTGATTTTAGTAAATGTTAAGTAAAATTTGCTTGTCTGTAACCCAGCTGTGGCAGGGAAATGGGGTAGGTTGCAGGAAACCCAAAGAAGGCGCCTGGAGATAGCATGGGAGAAATACGATTTACCAGGGAAAACTTACTGGAGATCAGTGACTGCTCCAAGAAGAGTTCAGTAGCAATTGGCTGAACAGACAGCACCTCCATCCAAGGTGCTTCACCAAGCAGTGCCTCCTTTTCCTCAAGGCGTTTTGCCCAGTGGTGGCTGGATGAGTGACACATACTCTTCCTGCTGTGCTCTCAGTTCCATGCCCCTCTCCCACTGAGAGAGGAGTTTTATATACCTTAAACTAAAGAAGCAGTGACATCATCAGCATTATCTTGCTTAGTTTGCTTGTGTGGTCAGCTCCCAAGGAGCAACTGTTTTTGTATATGCAAGAAAGTCGCTTTCTACAGTTGATACTAACTCACTCAAGTGTGCAGAGGAGAAAACTAGAGTTTTTTAAGGACATTTCTGGCCCAGGCTTGCTCTCATTTTCCCCTTAAGTTGGCTAGGTTTTGGGGAAACAGAAAGGGAACATTCAGGGAAATGATGTTTTACTGTCTCCTTTTTCTGTAGGAATGACATATTTGCCTATTAGATATTCCTATGGAGACAGATGTCAAGTAGGCAGATGGACTGGTGAATTTAAGAGATCCATGATGAAATTATATTTCAGCTTTCTCAGCATATAGCTGGCATCTAAAGCTTAGGCTGTATTCACCATTAGAGTGAGAATTCACATTCAGATGCTGCTAATTCCTATGCTATTATATACTGCCTTTAATGTGACCATTATTGTTTTCCTCATCCATCCAAGCCTAAATCCTGTTCATGGATTTATCGTGTATTATTTTAACCTAAATTGACAAGTATTGTTTTTTTTCTTTTCTGTCTGATATCTTCACTGCTGCAATCTTGATCCAAGGTGTGGGGATTTTCTGAGATCATTCGAGATCAGGCACATTCAGAGTGGTATAGCTGTAGAGGTTTGGGGATTTTTCTAAGAAACAAACACAACAATTTTCAATGCTATGAAATACATACTTCCAGCCCTGTAAAACTGTGAGTTCACAAGGTTAGCTTTCTCACACAATGTCACTCAAAATAGGTTTGTATTTTATTGGGTGCCTTGCTACTACTAAACCCTTCATGAAATTTCATAGTGTAAGAGACAATTTCTACTTTAACGTGGTAAGAACATGGGACTTAAGAGTTTGAATCCGGGCTCTAGCACAGGGTTTTCAACTTTGGATGACTGATTTTATGAAAAGAAAAATAGTGCTGCTGACTTCAGAGGTTTATGGTGATAATATAATGGGGTCATATTTATTAAAATATTTTACACAGTGCCATTTTATAAATGAATATTTCCACCTTTTGGAGTCTGTAAAAAATGACATATCTGGGTGATAGCATTGTTTTTTTTTAAATTTTTTTCTTTTTTTTTTTTTTGTACTAAAAGTTTCTTTTTCAGGGCTCATTACATTATCCCATGTCATTCACAGCATCCTGTCAACTCACAATGGACATTTTTAATGGACAATAATTTTTAATATTAAACAATATAAACTAATGTAGTTTAACATTCTGTTGCATCAGTCTGATAGTATTCTTGAGTAGCCATTGAGGATCAGGAAAAGGATAAAGAGAAAAGAAATGGTCAGTAATGTGTTCTGTTATCCAGGCTTCCAACCTAGGGTGGAGGATTGAGTCCAGACCAGAGGATCCATCCCTGCCCACCACTCGACTTTCTCCTGGAGTAGCCTAGCTGTGGAGGATTCCTTACTGGTTCTTAAGGAAAGCTTCCAGACACAGAGACACTTCACTCCCAGGTAAATATGTTTTATCTTTTTAAGGACTGCCAGGGACACAGAAGTTTTCTCTGGGTTTCAAGTCTTGTGTCCCTGTAGCCATTTTTATATTATTGTTATTAGTAGTAGTCATATCGTAGTAGTAATGGTGCTGAAAACTGAAACCCCAAAGTGCTTTACCCCTGAGCTGTGTCCCCAATCCTTTCTTTCTTTTTGTTCCAAGAAAGGGTCTTGCTAAATTGCCCAGGCTGACCTCAAATTTGGGATACCTCAACCTCCCTAGTCACTGGGAAGATAGGCATGTGCCACCACACCCAGCTCCTGTGGCCATTTTTACATATCAATTTATTCTTTATGGTTGTAAGCACTGTATGGAGGGCTGGGGAGGTGGGATGTTCCAGAGAAAAGATTTTCTTTTGTTACAAAAAAAAATTTTGTAATTCTTTTTCCTAAAAATTTATGGCTATGGGTTTTCAAAGGTATATTACCAGAGAAGAAGAATGCAAAGAAAAGAAATTGGGTTATTTTGCTTGTTTTACATTTACACTGTCCTTTGTAGCACCTATTTCTCTTGCTATGTAAAAGAATGACTTTAAAAACTACAGGAAGGTCTAGACCTTTTTGGTTTTCTTCAACATATTTTGCCTTTCCCTAACCTCACTATGACTGGTTTATGCTGTGTGTGTGTGTGTGTGTGTGTGTGTGTGTGTGTGTGTACTGGGGAGGGGAGCATCTTCCAAATAAGATTTCTGCTTGAAAATTTTTCATCATAGGAACCTTGGAATTTCATCAGGGCTAGTTAACTAGACAAACCAACAAGTGTTTATTAGAATCCCTAGTAAGTATCTGAAGCTATGCGAGGCCAATTGGATACAACATTTCCTGGGTGTGAAAGTGGGGATTTGGGCTTCAGCCCTGTGTCTGTGGATCTCACATAGCATTCTCTGAGACTGCAAAAAAAGTCTGGACTATGTCCTCTTCTTTCATCAGGAGGGCCATGCACAATCAAGGCTCAAGAAATCACAGCTTCGTCACTGAGTTTATCCTCTTGGGCTTCTCCAGAAATCCCAGGACCAATTGGATCCTTTTCTTCCTCTTCCTCTTCCTGTATTTATTCACAGTCTTGGGCAATGGGCTCATTGTTACCCTGATCAGAGTAGATGCACGTCTCCACACACCCATGTACTTCTTCCTCAGTATCCTCTCTCTGCTGGATCTCAGCTATGCCACCACTACAGTGCCCCAGATGTTGGTCCATCTGATAAGCAAAAATAAGACCATCTCTTATGCAGGGTGTGTGGTTCAGATGTACATTTTCCTGACCCTAGGCATCACTGAGACCTGGATTTTTGCAGCAATGGCTTATGACAGATATGTTGCTATATGTCATCCACTCCACTATGGGGTCCAGATGAGCCAAACTCTGTGTGTACTCCTAGCAATCAGCTCTGCCCTTTGTGGACTTATCTGTGCCCTTGTCTACACAGTCTTTGCAATGAATCTTCCCTACTGTGGCCCTAATGAAATCAACCACTTCTTTTGTGAAATTCCTGCTGTTTTGAAGTTAGCCTGTGCGGACACATCCCTCAATGACCAAGTGGACTTTATCTTGGGTTTCATCTTGCTTCTGATCCCACTATCCCTGATCCTGGCCTCATACATTCGTATCTTCACTGCTATTCTAAAGATTCGTTCCACCCAAGGGCGGATCAAGGCCTTCTCCACCTGTGCTTCCCACATCACTGTGGTCACCATGTTCTGTGTTCCATGCATGATCATGTATATGAGGCCTGGCTCTGAAGCCTCCCCAGATGATGACAAGAAGTTGGCCTTGTTCTACAATGTCATTTCAGCCTTTCTCAATCCCATTATTTATAGCCTCCGGAACAAAGATGTGAAGAGGGCTTTCTTCAGGTTATTTAGAATGAGTGAGGACGCTCAATAGGCAATGGCCCACGAATGTCTGCAGTGCCTCTGGTCTCTCACATACACCATCCACAATTTCACTGATGTCATTGTAATGAACAGGACTTTCCAGATGAAGGAGAGACCTAAAAACAAAACCACTTACTCATTAATTTGGAAATGTATTCTACTGTCATGTATGGCTAAAAAGAACCAATAAATTAAAAAGAAAGAAAATGGAAACATGAGGAAAGAACTCAGAGAAAATTATGTTCATGGATTAAATGTATCATTGACATTCCATGGCTTTGGAAAGGTCACCTAACTTCTCTGTGATTTAATTTCATATTGGTCAAATGTGCTTCATGATATTCATTATGCCTAAATAATAATAGCTAACCCTATTGGTTTTTTTCTGTATGAGTTACTAAGTATTCTACATGAACTTATTATTTTAATTCTTACAATAACTCTAATGGTAGGCATTATCTCCTTTATTCATATTTTTTTAAAAAAAAAACTGACACAGAAGATTAAATACATTGCCAAATGTCACCAAGTTAGAAAATAAAACAGTTAATATTAAACCTAGAGAGCACAGTTCCATAACTCAGGCTCTTATCTATTATATTATGCCATACAACTCTGAAATATCCAATACTTTTGAGGCTTATCGGAGATAATGAATGGTATATTACTGAGTAAAGTTGAAAACAATCAGAATTATTATTCTAAGTCACAACTACAGGGTCATATCCTTGAAGTCTAGAGTTATGGTAGGTGCTTTTAGTCTTCCTCACCAGCATTCTGTAGCCTAACCAAACAGCACTGCACAATGCAACAGTAACATCTCAATAAATGCTTGTTGAGTTATTTTACCTCCACCTTCATCTTTGATCTAAAATTTCCTTTCAGATCTTCTTTACTTTCATTGGCTCCTCTCCTATTTCCATCATCTCTACCCCAACCATGGCTTCCAAGTGTCCAGACTTGTATTTACAAGGAGAGTATCTTGGTTTCCACAACTGACTTACCTTAAATTTTCTCTGCCACCAGAGAGACCACGGGGACAGCAGGAAGAAGACTGGGTCTCAGTGTTAGCTTAATTTCTTGAGATCTTGATAAAACCACTATATATATCTGGAGTTCAGTCCTCTGGTACATAAAATGGAGATAAGGACCACATGTGACTGACTGCATCATAGAAGTATTTTGAATTTAAATGGGAACAGGACTTAAATAGTTGTATACATTGCCATCAGAGTCACTGCCTTCAAAACTAAGTGTCTTAGAAAATGTTCATTAAATTCTGCTTAGGATGCAGCTCAGCAGTAGAAATCCCCTGGGCTCAAGCCACAGTACTGCAAAAAAGAGAAAGAAAACTTATGAAATGCAGCAAGCAGTGCTTACAAGAAAATTTATAGCCATAAATGTTTATATATTTTTTTAAAAAATCTCAACTCAGTCACCTTAAGAAAGTAGATATAATATCAATAGTAGTTTTGTTTGTCAACTTCAAATGTTAATATAAGGTTTATTGTGAAGTCAGGAGGTATGGGTTGGATACTTATGGTGGCAATTAACTATATGCAGAGCCATGTCTCACACGTATGTGTGTGAGGACACATGCACAAATACATATACTCCCAAATGAGTGGGAAACAATCACAACATCAGCTGCCACATAAACCAAAAAACAAACTATTTCTACCACTATCAAAGCAAATCAATTTTTATCACTTCGGTTTCAGACAAATATAAAGTTGCTTTGCAAATGGTCCCACACAATGAATCTTTTAAATCAGGTACCCTTTACGTGTTTTTCTGATAAGACTCAATTACTAAAACATTCCAACTGCTTCTAATTACTTTGAAAGAAGTTTAATTTGTAAACCAAGAATCATCTAAATGTTAAGAAAATCCAAAAGACCAATAAAAACTAAGAGTGTGCTTTGCTCATTAGCCAATTCATCCAGAAGATAAACTTAGGGGAATTTCCAAGTCTAGAGTATTCTTAGCATTCATTCCTTGAGCATTAAAGAAATGCAAGTGCTAAGAATGATGTAAATAAAGACTGGGCACAGAGGCACACACCTATAATCCCAGTGGCTCTGGAGGCCGAGTCAGGAGGATCACAAGTTCAAAGCCAGCCTTGGCAATCTAGCAAGTCCCTAAGTAACTTAGTGAGAACTTGTCTCAAAATAAAAAATAAAAAATGGTTTGGGGATGTGGCTCAGTGGTTGAGCACCCCTGAGTTCAATCCCCAGTACCAGAGAGAGAGAGAGAGAGAGAGAATGATGCGGAACAGCAAAAAACAAAAAGTCCCCAGGGCCAGGGTTATTGCCTGAAGGTTACAGGCTCAAACGATGCAAGCCCTAGGGAAAGAGGAGCTTTGATTTTTTCTAAAGACAGAAAAATAATGTCAGTGTTCCTGGGGCCTTGTTAAGAAATTGCTCTGGGGCCATTAGAGGGGGCTGAGGATCAGCTGCTGGAACTAAAGGGGCTCTCCTCTAAGTGCTCTCAGAGCAGTAAAACCCCACAGCAGGCCACCCAAGGTCCCGCCTCTACTGCAGCCAGTCCTGACTTCTAGGTGTTGGCATAGGCTGTTCCACTTGGAAGGCCCCTTCTCCCCTTCCGCAGTGCCTCCTTTTCATTCATTCACTCAGGTCTCTTCTTCAGGAAGTGAAGAGCTACTTCAGCAAAGGCGAAAGTTTTTACTTCCTCAAGAACTCTTAACACCACTAAGGAAGCACTCCACTCTGGCCTCAGAAGAGAGTATCCAGCTGGGTGAGGTCTTCAAGGGTACAGCCTGCATCTTGGCCTTGAATTCCTTTAACAAAACAACTGCTAACACTATTCAACTATATTTGCATAGAGCTATTTTAAATGCAAATGGTTTGGACTCTCCTTTCTCCCATTTGTGGTAAAAACAAAAACAAATGCCCAGGGGAACTCAGCAAAAATTGGGAGCAGAAGGAAACTTCCTCACTCTTAATAAAAGATATCCACCAAAATCTACAGCTAACATCACACATAGTGACAAAAGACTAAGTGCTTTCCCACTAAAATCAGTACAAGACAAGGAAGTTGACCCTCCCTACCGGAATTCAAAGCAGCACTGGAAGTCCTAGACAGTACAAGAAGGCAAGAAAGGAGAAGAATAGAAAGAAGAAAA